TAGCGATAGTAAAAGCGAGCAGCAAAAGTTACTTAAAACATTCACAGAAGGAGACTTTTCAGATTTACTCCCATAAAAAAAAAAAATGACTGCCAAGGAAAAGACTGGGTTTATTATTGATTTTGTATTTTTAACATGAAAATCCCCTGGAGGCAGAAGATGACACTTTGATGACCTGCTTTGAGCTCTTCATCTTTACGGCTCATAAAGAAGTCGATGCATTAATGTTACATGTTTTTATTGAAATAGGCATAAAAGCTTCCTGGCACTGGATGCAGGGATTACTTGACTGGAGTTCATAGACAAATGAAAGTACCCGTACCCCAGAGTCTTGTATGTTGTAGTCAATTTCGACCTTGACAGTCACAGTTCAAGTGAAGTGTTTAGTCATTAGGTCACGACCCAAAACTTTTTATGAGGCATTCATTCTGACAGAGGATATTAAAAAATGTCAATTAAACTGCATTAATCCAAAAAAAATGAATGTTGCTGGTTTTGATGAGACGTAGAGAAGAAACAATAAAACCCTGGTGTTCTCCCGCAGGGTAAAAACCACACTGATGACAGAATTGCCCTGGATTCTAGAACCTCCTATAGAATTTACGCGACTACCCAATTACAGTAATACCTCGAGATATGAGCATAATCCGTTCCAGGACCGAGCTCGTAACTCGAGGCGCTCCTATCTTGAATCATGTTCTCCCATCAGAAATAACAGAAAAATAATTAATCCATTCCAGCCCTCTAAAAAAAAACCTTATTAGTACTAATAACAATGGAAACAGCCGCTCCGAGAGCTCGGCCACCTAGCGTCGGCGTCTCTAAGCGTACTCATATCTCAAATCTTTACTCGTATCTCGAAGCAAAAATTAGCTTGAAGGCTTGTTGGTATCTCAGAGTACTCGTATGTCGGGACGCTCGTATCTCAAGGTTCCACTGTACACTTGAATCGCTTCATCCTACTATAAGGTCAGGGCGTGGTCTAGGGTAGGGTTTCTCAACCCTTGGTGCCGGTCCGTGTGTCATTTGGTACAGTGAAAAAATGTTCTTCAGTTTTTAATAATCTGGCAATGTTTCAAAACAATAGGTCATTCAGACTTGGATACGAATAGAATAAAGTTTTCGTTACCTCGGATTGGTTAGTGCTGTGTCCATAGTTCGTCCTTTGTCCATGTATTGACATCATAAATCACTCTTCGACTCGACTTGGATTTTATTATCAGCTATTTTCAGATTCAAGTGTTCAGCCGTTCGGAACATTTTTCCACGAGTCACTTAGAAGTGACGAAGCCTTTCCGATGAGCGCTGAAACGTTGTATTGTCCTCAGAGGATTTCCTGACAGTAAACGCTACGAATGATACAAATGCATGATTAGCCTTTGTGGTCGACTCCAAGGTTATCTGTTACAGTTATCTGTTTTGGGAACATTCATGATGAACACATCTACTGTTAGGCCTTTCTCACTAAAGCAGGCGTGTCAAACATGCGGCCCGCGGGCCACAACTGGCCCACTAGGGTGTGCAGTCCGGCCCGCTTGATGAATTTTAAAAATAAAAAAAAAATTCACAAACAATTATATTCCATTAAATATGAATGCGTCTGCGTTCACAAAGAATTCGACAAAAGTCGAGCTAGACACTGTGGGCCTTTGTTTTCAATTTCATTCTGTTTGTTATATATTTTGTTGACTTTGGTTGTTGTGAAAAGCTACTGTTGTGCTTTTGTTCCCAGATGCAAAAGAGAGCCTTGGGGGAAAATGTAGTTCTATTTAATACATAACTCAAAAAAAAAAAAAAAAAAACGTTTTCTTTTGTTGTGACTTGACCAGAGGCAGCGTTTTTAGAAACGCTTGTCATCAGAGAAGGAAGTTCCATTTGGCATCCATTGGCATCCGAACCTGAGTGAGCATTTCAATAGGATACGTGAAGTGTGTGTACTGGGAAAAGTCATTGTGCGACCCATTTCCATTATTCATGTTTTTAATAAAGCTCCATGTAGCTCAGCAGTTCTTTTGATGACGCACACACAGAGAATAATACATCAGCAAAGTAATGAGAATGTTCTGTTATAAAATCACCAAGACGATGTTGTGATGCCTACGTGGAATAGTGCAGAGTTTTGTTTGTTTTTTTATGGCGAGCTGGATCATCGGAGCTTCTCATCTTCTCAGGGTTCCAGTTGTATTTGTTGAGTGGAGTGTACAGTTTCTCAGTTAGCCGTCGACTCCTTTTACGGAGACCTAAATGGAGAAGCTGCCTTCGCCGGCTTTCAGGAGGTTAAAGTGACCCATTTCTCCACTTAGTAGCCTAACAACACGAGGCTACTGAGCCTACAGCCCTGCTGTTCCTCATCCTTTACTTCTTCCTCTCCGTCTTTGTTGCCATGGCGACGCACACTCTCATTTCTGGAGATGAGAATCGGGAGGAGGCGAGGGGTAGCGGGGGGAACGCAAGGCGGAGAGCAAAGGAGGAAGGGAGATTGTGCAACCATGATCAGAGCGTAGTCGAGGAGAGGTGGAGATGGAGAGTGTAGTCTGGCTGAGAATGGCAAACATCCAGGCATATATGGGTGTTTTTTTTTTTTTTTACCTCCTTCAGATGTTGAAACCAGAGCTGATTTTTATCTCACGTCGAAGCTCATTTTTACAACCGCAAACAAGGCAACGATTGACGCCACAATTAGATAAGCATGTATTTTTAGATATGTTTTGGCGTGAAGCTACTACCTCCCGCTCGTATTCGCCCGACAAGTACTAAAGGAGGAGTGATAAAAAGTGTTTCTGCAACTTTGAGTTAACAAAGCCGTTTTTTTTCCCTGACGTCTTTGCGGGACTGACAGTCCCGGCGGCTCATGCGCCAGTCATTCTAATTGTTAGTAAAGACTTGGGAAAGGATTACTTCCTCATTTTTAGGCCCCTTTTTCAAGCCACAGATGTTCTTCTTATCTCCATGCTCCAGACTGAAGACGAGATTTTCGAGATTTCTGTTTTCTATTTACAATTGCAGAAATCAGAGTTCTGGAAAAGGACTTAGAATTTAGGACTCTTGAAATGGAATCCTGAAGGAGGTTTTCCCACAGTGAAATAACATTGTTCATAATTTGAGTGTTAGTGACCGGCAGCTGGTGTTAAACCTCTTCTGAGGACTTTGTATTTTTTTTTTTTTTGCAGTCGAGCATTCATGCAGAGACGATATCAGCGGCTCACGCTGAGGATTATAATTAATTACGTAGAGATTATGAGGGAACAATTGGACAAAAGGGATTTTTTTTTGGAGGGAGAATTAAAATGGGAAAAGATAAAAACAAGAGCGTCAGTTTTACTGCCTTCTTCTGTATTAGTCAGCCTCCTTTATACCTCAGAGGATGTAAGTGTCAAGGACAAAAAAGGTCAAGGGATAATTCATTTCTCTCGCTGTGACACTCTTCTCTTTTTTTTTTATTTAAGGTTCGATTCTGCCAGCGGAAAGGTCGGCGCCCTCCTCAGCAGGACGTCAGTCTCTCACTTTGGATCCAGAAAAGGGTGGAGCGAGGTGCCATGCACACGCCTAGATAAGGAAACAGACATTTTACCGACTTCCTCGCGCACTCACTCAGTGCCCATCATCCCTTCGCTCCAAGCGAGCGACCTCAGCGTCGGGAATGTGGAGGTGAGCGAGCAAAAGCACCGCGGCCTTCTCAAGTGGCACCTGGTACAGGCGGGAAAACAGGCGGTGCACGTTACAAATTCCTTGGCTCAATCCCGCCGAGACACCGCTGCGCCCAAGCCCAGTGTTATGCCGGGCGATGTTAGCCCTCCTGCCCCCTCCGCCGGCACCACTGCTCCCCCGGCGTCGCAGGAGAATCCGAATTCTGCGCAAAGGCTCTGTTCCGCAGAAATTACTGTGGAAACCCCGCGGGAATTAAAGCACAAAAGCTTTCCCAGCTCCATGGAAAAGTCCGGGTCTCATAGTGAGATTCACCGCGGCGCCACAAACACTCCTGGGAACGGGACGGCGCACGGGTCAGACGGAAGGAGCGTGCACACGAGCTTTGGGAGCAGAGTTCTGAAGGCAGTAGGCCAAAGAGAAACCCAGGGAAGGTGCCAAGGACAAGCATCCCTCGAGTACGGAGGCGCAAACCTCTCCTCGGCCACCAGAGGAGCCAGCTGCAGAGGAAGCGGCAACGGAGTTGCCAAGCCCCCTGCGAGCTGATTGGATTACCCATGTAAAGCTTAAGAGAAACTGTGTCCCGATGACTGTATACCTGGCACAGAGTGGATGTAGCAGGTGGGGGGCGCTGTGCAGCCACACAGACCAATGACAGACATCAGTGGATTTTTTTTTTTTTCAATCGCATTTAAAAACTGGAGTTGCGTGAAGAAAAACAAAAACCACGATTGAAGACGTTAAATTAAAATGAAACAAGACAAGCAAATGCACATTGTGAATAAATGTGACTCAATGAGGACAAATCGTGACTGGAGTGGGAGCTTAAAAGTGTATTGGGAAAAAAAAAAAGAAAAAAAAAAAAAAAAAAAAACATGCCACTATTTAAAAAAGGAGCTTCTACTTAGAAACCAAAATAGTGTGTCATGTCTATGTTGTTTCTCTAATGTAAAGAAATGGAATTATATATGTCATATAATATACGTCACATAGGCGTATATATATATTTGACATACAATTGTGAGAAAATAAAGACTAAGATACCAGTGTCAACCCAGGACTGTGTTCCTCTGATTCTCGGTCCGCCGTCAAGTGCGTGAATTGCTGTTTTTGAGTAAGTTGCATAACGTCGTCATCACAAATACCAAGCTGTACTCACAGTTGACAAGCTCTGCCAATACTGGATCAGGCCTCATCTGAGGTAGCCCTTCATTTCCATGGCAACAGGCTCACAGAAGATGTGTAAATCAGAGCGGATTAAAGGAGCAGTGTCACTATTCCTGGAGTTGTGTCAATGGGTTGCTTTAACCTCCCTCGTGGTACGCAGGTCAATGTAAGTGTTGATGGGATCCGTACCCGCTGTGGCATAAGAATGAGATTGAGATTGATTTTCCGATTTTTGAGTTAATTTAGCCCTTTTTGCGTCTTGTTTTATACAACACGTGCCTGTGCAAACATCACTTTTTCTTTTCCTCCTTCTCTCTGTGCTTCTCATTGCGATGGGGCTGCAATGTGATTCAGCATACCGCAGAATGGGGGCACGGAAAGAAAGCAGTAGAATTTTAAGCTGTAAAAAAAAGAGAGAGGAGGAGAAGAGAAGATCCCTTTAACATATTTCTGCAGAGTAGGGTGTTTTTAACAGAGCTAAAACATCAGCATAAGGCAGTGGACTCTGGACTGGGGTATTCCATAGCCCATATATTTAGTCTGATGCAGGCTCGGCAAGTTTCTGTTGTAGATTCTAATTTTGAATCGCACAATATGAGAAATTTAGTGGAAATTGTACAAGCAAAAAAGAATCCAAGAATAACACTGAAACAACACTGTGTTTTTTAATCCGGCCCATCGAACCTGTCCAAATTATATTACTCATTTATATGACCGTTCAACTTCTGTCATTTTGCCTCATCCCTGAAAGTCCCATGTTCCCCCAATAGATGGCGCACTTATAGGGATGAGGTATATTATTATGTCCTAGATTATGATGTCACCAACTTAACGTAGGTGAGTGACGTACTCAAGGTACAATATGAAAGTTCCAACTTAAGTTGAGGACCTTCTGTATTTTTGTCACATCGCATAATTATTCAAACGATGTTGGGCAGCGTCCAATCAGGCGCATCGGCAACTGTAGCTGAGACGAATTTTGGTCCAAATTGGTTATAAAAATGTTATCTAGAGGCTCAGTATGTTCTTCTCAAATAGTGGACATAAGTGTACCACTGCTGTAATGCTTGAATGATAACAAGCCTCCAGTCACTAGGTGGAAGCAACTCATGTCATAGACTCAAAAAGTATTTTTCTGTTATTAGGTGGGCTTTAGTTTTTAGTTTTCCTCCTTGTCTCTCTGCTGGAAGCCATGTTGACAACGTGCCCCAGACTGGTTCTCTACACGGCGGGCCACGAAAGCATTGTTTATAAAAACACTTCTTTGTACAATCACGCTTCAAAAACGTTCACTCTGCCTTCAAGTTTTCGCACCGATGCACGTCTGTATTTACAATCACGCTTCAAAAATGTGCCTTTAAGTTTTCGCACCGATGCACGTCTGTATGCTTGTGAAAAAGCACGTTCAACAAGAAGATAAGTACTGCCAGTGAGTCAATGAGCATTCCCGTGCTTCCATGGTTTCAGTTTTAATCGTAGGATTGATTGGTGTTTTTAAAAAAGAAAAAAACAAAGCCTCCGCTAACCCAAATGAGTAAAGTTGGCTTAGGAAGATTAAAAAAAGGAGAGATATGGTTCAAAAGAGAGAGTAAGGAATTGTCTTTGTGCCTAGTAAGTCTACTGGCTACAAGTCAACAAAAATGATTGAATATGTGTGGAGCGGAAAAACAACAAAAACGTCCACCGCCTTAACCAAAAAGCAATATTTTCAGGCTTTTAATGGATTTTAGCAAAAAAATACAACTTTCTTAGATAAATATATTACTGGAGAATAACTCCAGTGATTCCGACATTGTCACCTCTGATGAATCGAGTGCTCCCATTTTTAGATGGAGTCCTGCTGCGCATCTTTAACACGTCTCTGACCTTTACAGCCAGGAGGTGTCAAAACCCTGCTGTACTTTAATGTTCTTCGGTGTTGAACTTACTTAAAACTTTCAGGACTCGAATGGGTGGTGGTGCATATTGGACAGTGAGTTTGGTAACAAAGAGGAAAGAATTCTTATAAACCAAGACAAAGTTGAGCTAATGCTCCAAAGGTAAATTCATGAGAAAACAGGAAGTGATTCAAAGGTAAGCAGTCGCATTACCTGCAATGAGCCTGGTTTGCTGGAGACGACACTGTGGCTGTTAGCAAGAATCCTCACCGGCGTGGACTGTTTTATGTTTGTGATGGATGTCTCGCTGACACGCACAGTGGCCATTCTGTCTCAGTGTGAAAAGAATACTAATGTGCCGTAGGTGCAAGAGGCCATTGATGCCCCCCTCCCAGTCCCTTACCACCAGATGGCATGGAGATTATGAGGACAGCAGTCTGGCATGTGTACTGCAGCACTAACAGCGTGGACGTCTGCTAACATTTCCCACCAGCTCACCTCGACGTGGGATAACAGGTGACGTGTTTAACATCGAGACAAATGCCAGCGCTGACAATCTCTGGATTGGGTTACTGCTTAGTTTGGCTTTTTATCATGATCTGTGTGAAATGCAGCAGAACCAGGGACGATTTTTTTTTTAATCTGTCCTATTTCTTTACGGCTGTACGATTCATCAACAAGAAAAGCAATTATGCATTGGTTAACCACAGTATTGTTGTATGTCATTTTAATCTTAACTTTGATTGGTTGTTTTTGATATTCCAACATGGCTGTCAAACTCATTTTGATTCCACACCACATACAGACAGTCAAATGGGCCAGACCAGTACAATCATAGCTTAATTACCTCTAAATAACAATAAGTCCCCCTTTGTTTACCTACAAATAAGTACAAGTATATTTGAAAATATACATATTAAATTTAATATAATTTGACCAAACATCACCGGCATTAAAGTTTTGTGCGTTTTTTTCACCCGTCCCTTCATCCCGCCCTTTATACCCCCCTGTGGCTTGACCTTATGACCTACATGATCACACCGACAAACCAGTATAGATCATATAAACCTTTTTTTATGACAGACACCTGTTTCATGATTTTACACAATAATGCAAATCCTACACAAAACAAAAGAAATGTCACTGTGAGTCGCTCACAAAAGCTGACATTTTAGCACTGACAACTTTTGACATTTAAACATTCGCTATATGTCAGGTTTGTCTGCATTACTGAAGTCGGGAGCAGTTGGTCAAAGCACAAAGTAAAGGTCTATGAATATAATATGAAAGAGTATATATTTGAATATATATGTATATTCATATATATTTGTGCATATATATATATAAATATATAATCAATTTAGGTAGATCACAGTCATTTGAACAGTAGCTCACAAGCCAAAAAACAATATACCTGTATGTATATATGTATTTTCATAGACTATATTCACATATATTTGCACATATATATTCACATATATTGGCACATACTGTATATATATATATATAT